TTTTAAATTTAAAAACAGTTTTTTTAGCGGTGTTTCTTAGATATGTTTTATCAAAATTGGTTTAGCTGCTTAAATATCATCAGCTTTTTGTTTCGGGGATTTTTTACAATTTTGAATTTAAGTTTAAAAATATATCTTCAAATTTTGCGGATAAAATATAACCTACATTACTCCTGGTATTGCTGTTATATTATATTCGTCTAGTTTACTAAAGTCGGTGTTATTTTTCTTAAATAAATTTCTACATTATTTAAATCTTTTTGAATCGTAACACATTTTGCACTAAGAATACACAGTGACTTATGCTCGTAATTGTTTCAAACCTTAAACCTTACTAAGTAAACTGATTTCAGTTATAAGCATTTATTATGTGTAGGCTTAACTGCGTTTACCTGGGACAAGTAGGCCGGTTAGGTAAGTCCAACTTCGACCGAGAGATCAATCGACGGATTCAACTCGACTGGGCAGCGTTCGGGAAATTACGACACATCTTTTCGTCAGGTATACCTCAATCTCTGAAAACTAGATTGTACAATCAGTGCGTGTTGCAAGTGACGACTTACGGATCTGAGACGTGGTCTTTCACTGCTGGCCGTATGAGGACGCTCAAGGTCGCTCAACGAGCCATGGAGAGTTTCTCTGCGTGATAGACTCAGAAATGAGGATATCCGCAGTAAAACCAGAGTGACCGATATAGCCCAACGAATTAGTAAGCTGAAGTGGCAATGGGCCGGCCATATAGCTCGAAGAACCGACAACAGTTGGGAAAAAAAGGTTCTCGAGTGGCAGCCTCGTACCGGTAGGCGAAGTGTAGGGCGACCCCCCACTAGATGGAGTGACGAGCTGGTAAGACATACATGAAGTCGATGGATGCAGGTGGCTCAAGACCGTGCTTTGTGGCATACCTTGGGGGAGGCCTCTGTTCAGCAGTGGACTTTCGAAGGGCTGCAATGATGATGATGATGGTGATGATGATGATGATGATGATGATGATGATGATGATGATGGTGATGATAAGGCTTAACTGGCAATGGGCCGACCATATATCTCGAAGAACCGATAAGCGATGGAGAAGAAAGGTTCTCGGGTGGTCCTATTAATGGTGCGAAAGCGAAGTCTAGGCAGCCACGACTAGATAGAAAGACGACCTGGTAAGATAAGCAGTAACTCGATGGTCAATTTTACATGATAGAGACACGCTGGAAATATATTATAGTTATAGTACGAATGGGTCGGCTCAACCGGGTTGGGACCACGCTCTCACACAATACTAGCGCAAAATAGCAGCTCAATGCTGCTGTGTTTTGTATGGTTAGTGTAGAGAACTGGAGACCCTTTTAACTGGAAACGGGGCATTCCATCTTAGTCCACACGTATCTGCATTTTGATTATTAATCGAGGACAAATGTAGATGTCTATGGACCTAAAATTAGTTCCAAATGTAAAATTGGCATGCATGAGCAATTCTAAGTGTTTTTGAAATCTACCTCTTTAACAGTTCTTTAAGTATAAATATTTTTGTCGTAGTGTGTACTTTAGTTTTGGTTCTATTAAGAAAATAGCATCGAAAGTTATTATTATCGACATTCCTTTGTCTATTTATATGAATAAAACTGTTTTGATTCTTAATTCATTCTAAAATCAGGTTTACATTACAGAGTAGCAATCAAAGTATATTATATTAAGAAGTCGAAAAAACTTTTTATGATATAAGTTTCACACTGATAGAGAAAATGAAATTTTTTTAGTAAGTTTTAATGACGACAACATAATTTTTAATAATAATAATAATTTCTTTATTTGCTTAAAACATGGTGTTTGTAGGTGGTACAGTAAAATAAGTTCACATGTTTTGCTTATAATTAGCATGCAAATTTAAGATTATATTCAGGTAACATTTATTTCAAAAGGGGTCAAATATATTCATTAAAGCAATGTCAACAAAACAATAATTATTAAAGCTTAATGTCAATAAATTCTTCAATGTCATACACTTTAAGTTCAATAAGCCACTTATGGAGTCTCGATTTGAATAAATTCATTTTGAGGTTTTTGATGTCATTGGGGATCTTATTATACACCTTAACACACATTGCTAAACAACTTTTTCTGAATTTAGCAGATCTTGGAATGACGCTTAATACTAATCGCTCCGGATTTCTTTTCCATCGAGAGTTTATATCTCTGGCTTTCTGAAAGAGCTCAGTATGGCGTTTTACAAAACAACTCATTTCAAAGATGTACAGTGCTGGCAAAGGAAGTAAGCCCAGGCTCCAAAATGCTGCTCTACAGGACTCGCCCGGTGTAATCCCACATATGGCTCTGATGAATTTTTTTTGCGCTATAAATACCTTTTGTCTCTCAGTACTATTGCCCCATATCATCACACCATAACGTACATACGCGTGGTAAGTGGTAATGGCTGTTTGAAAGTTAGTTACGCTCCTTGTTTTATAAAGAGCATAAACAAAGCTGTTAATACGCTTGCATAAGGCCTCAATGTGTAATTTCCAGTTAAGATCTTGGTCTATCGTTATACCTAAGAACTTAGTATGTGTAATTTCTTTAATCTTTTCAATATCAATGTTAAAATTGTATTTATCATATTTGGATTTATTAAATTGAATGAAATTTGATTTATCTAAATTTAATTTAGATTATTTTCCTCTAGCCATTTAATAATGTTGTCAATAGTATTATTAATCTCAATTTCGTGGTCATGTATTGAATTATATTTATTTTTTTCTGATGTCACAATTATTGATATGTCATCGGCAAACAAGATACATTTATGACCAGTAACTTTGGTTATGTCATTTATGTACAATATAAACATAAGTGGACCTAGGACACTTCCTTGAGGGATACCACAGGAGTTATTTTTTAGGGTAGAAGAACATGTCACCAGTTCGCTATTTATGATTTTGCTAACAGTGACGCGCTGACATCGATTCTTCAAGTAGGATGATAGCCATTGTAGTGTAGGTCCTCTTATACCAATCGTTTCAAGTTTATTTAATAAGAGGTCGTGGTCTACAAAATCAAATGCCTTGGACAAGTCAAAAAATAGACCTGTTGTTAGATAACCTTCATTCAATTTTGTGAGTATTGTTTGTACAAGAGTAAATGTTGCTAAAGTTGTCGACTTATCTTTTTGGAAACCGAATTGATCCCTACTAATGATGTTGTATGTGTTGCAATAATTAAGTATTCTCAGGTGCATACATTTCTCAAACACCTTCGATAGAATAGGTATAAGAGTAATTGGGCGATAATTGTTGACGTCATTTTTTTACCCTTTTTGTACAATGGTTTGACGACTGATTGTTTTAATGCTTCCGGAAACGTACCAGATGAAAATGATAGATTAATTAAATACGTTAATATAGGCACTAGTTCATCAATACACATTTTAATTATTCTGGTACTAATTCCATCAAGGCCTTCTGAGTTGGTGTTGTTCAAACCCATAATTTCTTTTTTTACTTCTTCTTTTGAAGTCGGAAGAAGAAACATCGTGTTTGGTATAAGTTTGCTTCTAGCAGTTGTTTTTTGTATATTATTTGTCGTCATATTTGTCAATTCAATAAAATGTTCATTAAAAGCTGAGGCTATGTCAAAAGGATGTGTCAATTGTTTTTTGTTTAAACTTATTTCACTTATAATATTGTCACATTTTAAACCATCAATTTCCTTTTTTATTACATTCCATGTCGCTTTGCATTTGTTTTTACTTTTATATATATATTTTATATGTGAATTCCTTTTGGAGGTAATAATACATTTTTTTAATACTTTCGAGTAATTTATATATTTGATTTTATTGATTGCTGTTTTATTTTTATAATATTTATACCTTAGTGACCGTTTAGTTTTACAGCTTGTTCTTAGGCCTTTGGTAATCCAATTTTGTGTGTTCCTATGATGGTTGTTAACTTTAATTTTAATTAAAGGAAAACACAGATTATAAAACATGCACAGTAGTTCCTGAAACTTGTTGAAGGCAGAGTTTAGACTCATATCTGCGTATACCTCAGACCAAGTTATGCTTTTTAGGCACTCCCTGAATTTGAAAATATTTTCGCAACTGTAGTCCTTTATAAGTACTGTGTATGTTTTTGGTTTTTCATTTTTTATTTGCACAGGGAAACACAATAATTGAGCTGTATCGTGGTCGGATAAGTATAAAGGTAGTACCGTAGCGTTAGCGTCTATAATGTTGTTAAAATGGCAATATCATCGCCGCTGCAGTCTTACTATCGCTTTAGTACAGCAAAGTACGGTTTTAGTTACCTTTATGTCTGATTAGCTTTTAAACTAAATTTACTGCTAGTGCGATATTATTGTTTAAATTTTAATCATATTGGACTGGGGTAGTGGGGGGGGAGAGGAGTGTCTATATTGAGAGGCGCCGCTTTCCTACCCTCCGTGGCCGAAAGTTGTTTGGTATCACCACTTACAATTAGGTTAGATAGTTATCAAGCGCTGATATAATATAACTAAATCAGTAATACCAAATTAAAAATAAAATGTTTTACCCGTTTATTGTATAATATCACGTTCTAGGTTGGTTAAAACTTGCTATGTCAATATCCACACTAAGTAAGTAGTTAAACGCCCTAAGCAATGAAACCTATAAAACACACACAAAACTTTGTTTGTATAGGGACTACCTAGTAAATAAGGGTCGATGTATAACAAAAATAAAAAAAAATAGTTACAAACTGAATTGTCGTGGGATCGGTTTTGATGTTTAACACAACTTATAACTATGAAATAGTTTTTAGTCATCTATTTATTAATGGCCACTTGAAATGACAAACGAACTTACGGCCCACCTGATGGTAAGTGGCTACTGCAGCCTGTAGACACCTGCTACCAACAATAATAATAAATAATAATAACAATAATAACAATAAATATAATAACAATAATAACCGCGACTTCCCCGCTTAGCCCTAAGCAAGCGGAATCGGGCTGTCGTGAGGGCTCTGAACCCAATGCTGGTTACCTATTTGGAAGCCAGCCGGGACCTTTGCGATACGGACTCAATTCTTTTTGGCGCCGCACTGGCAGTCTGCCGTATTATAGGTGCCAAACTTTCCACGGCTGGACGCGCTACTGGACAAAGTAGTGCTATCCCAGCCTGGAGAATAAGAATTGAAGAACGTATCGCAAAGGCTAGGGCCCTCATCGGCAGACTGATATGCTTCAGGTCAGGCAATACCAGGCCAAGGATTGTGCGCACCGTCAGGATGGCGTTTGCTGGGACAAATGTTAGTTTGTCCCAGCCGGATATAATGCAAAAACTGACGGAGCGCATAGACGACCTGAAGCAAAGAATAGCTGCTTGGGGAAAGCGGATTCGGCGATATACCGAGAGGTCGACACGGTTCAACCAGAATCGTCTCTTCCAGAGTGATCAGAAGAGGCTCTATAAATCATTGGAGCGACCAATAGTAAGTGGAACGGGCCCTGCACCAAATCAGGCCGACATGGTCGCATTCTGGCGCAGCCTGTGGTCAGAGCCCTTAAACCACAACGAGGGCCCTTGGACGGAAGTTGTGGCGAGTCAGTGTGCGAGTATTACGCCCATGGACCCCGTCATCATAACGCCGGATGACGTAGCTGAGGCGGTTCGTAGGGCCCCCGAACTGGAAAAGTCCGGGGCTTGACGGGCTGCATCACTACTAGCTGAAGGGGTTCATGGTGTGTCACTCTGTGCTCGCCCGACAGTTTCAAGAGGCTCTCAACCAGAAGTCGCTCCCAAGCCTCTTCACTACTGGGATCACTCATTTGATTCCTAAAGATCAGGGTGCCACAGACCCGAGCAAATACCGCCCTATCACGTGTCTACCGACCATATACAAGACACTAACATCCATTTTGAGCGCAAGAATCGCTCGTCACCTGGACTTAAATCAGGTGATGTCGCGCGCTCAAAATGGATGTCGGGGCGGCGGTCGTGGAACCAAGGAACCACTCCTCATTGACGCGGTCATTGGCAAAGTGGTGAAACGCAACCGTCGGAACTTCTCCGCCGCCTGGATAGATTACAGAAAGGCATTTGACTCGGTGCCCCATACATGGCTAAAGAGGGTCCTCGAGCTGTACAAGATTGACTGTACAGTTCGAGACTTCCTCGAGCAGTGTATGGGGCAGTGGAGTACGATCCTCTGTCATCTAGGCGAGCGGATGACGGCTGCGGAAAGCCGCATAAGGATAAGAAGGGGTATATTCCAGGGCGACTGTCTGAGTCCAATTTGGTTCTGCCTCTCTTTGAACCCTCTCAGTACTTTACTGGAGGGCTCCGGGAGGGGATTTCAGCTTCGGAAAGGAGGTACAAAAGTGACCCACCTTTTCTATATGGATGACCTCAAATTATTCGCCTCCAGTCGCTCCCATCTTATGGAATTGCTAAACATCACGTGTGAATTTAGCAATTCTATTAGAATGGAGCTGGGGACGGATAAGTGTGCGGTCCTCCATGTTGAAAGGGGAAGGGTTGCTAACTCTGAGGGCATAGACTTATCTATGCCCGTCAACTTAAGAACCCTTTCCGAGGCTGAAACATACCGATACCTGGGTATGTCACAGAACATCGGTATCGATGAGGCTGGTATGAAACAGTCAGTTTGCGACGTGTTTTATGCACGCTTGACCAAAGTGCTTAACAGCCTTTTGTCCGGTGTGAATAAGGCACACGCATATAGCGGCTGGGTCATGCCTGTCCTCATGTATACCTTTGGCATACTCAGGTGGACTCAGACTGAACTTAACGCCCTGGATAGAAAAGTCCGCACTACCATGACGTCCCATAGGATGCATCATCCGAGATCGTCGGTAATGAGGCTGTACTTGCCGCGGAAGCATGGTGGTCGTGGCTTCTTGAGCGCGCTCACCATGCATAATCGCGAAGTGTGCAGCCTCCGTGATTACTTCCTGTCGAGATCGGATGATCCATTCTATAAGGACGTCATTTCTTGTGATAAAGGACTTACCCCTCTATCCTTAGCCAACGAGCAATGGCAAGACCCGGGAGTGCAGAGCATTTCCGACCGGGAGACCGTATGGAAGGAGAAGGAGCTCCACGGGAGGTTCTACAAGGCTCTACATGAGCCTTTCGTAGACACAGTAGCCTCCCTCCACTGGCTACGCTTTGGTGATCTCTTCGGGGAAACCGAGGGTTTTGTCTGTGCAATACAGGATCAGGTTATTAAGACCAACAACTATCGGAGATACATCCTAAAGGATGGCACCGTCGACATCTGTCGAGCTTGTCGCCATCCCGGTGAGTCACTTAGGCATATTATCTCCGGTTGTTCGGCGCTTTCTAACTCTGAGTACTTGCACAGACACAACCTAGTAGCCAGAATTCTACACCAGGAGCTCGCTCTGAAATACGGTCTCGTGGATCGGAAATTGCCGTATTACAAGTACTTGCCGGAAGCCGTGCTCGAAAATGATCGCGCCAGGCTCTATTGGGACCGGGCCATCATCACAGACAGGACTATTCTTGCGAATAAGCCTGATATTGTGCTGATGGACCGGGCACAGTCAAGGATATTTTTGGTCGACATTACCATTCCGTATGACGAGAACCTCGTGAAAGCCGAAACAGACAAGCAAACAAAATATCTGGACCTGGCTCACGAGGTGACCGACATGTGGGGTGGTCTGCCGACCGAAATTATTCCTGTAGTCGTCTCTGCAAACGGGCTAATCCCAGTCAGCCTCTCGGGTCATCTGAGGCGGCTGGGACTACGTGGCGGACCGCTCCAGGTTCAAATGCAGAAGGCGGTGCTCCTCGATACCGCCCGCATCGTCCGCCGGTTTCTTTCCCTTTCCCCCTAACCCTCGGCCGTTTGGTCTCCCCTGCCGAGGGCCTCCATCTGGTTGGGCTTTTACTTATTTATGTACTTTTATATTTATTTTACGTTATTGATATTTATGTATATTTATCTTTTCATTTTCATTTATAATTATATATCTATATAACCCAACCAGATGAGAAAACTATATAGATGCCACACAATAATAATAATAATAATAACAACAATAATAATAATAATAATATCTTAATAACAGGTTATTAAGACCAACAACTATCGGAGATACATCCTAAAGGATGGCACCGTCGACGTCTGTCGAGCTTGTCGCCATCCCGGGGAGTCACTTAGGCATGTCATCTCCGGTTGTTCAGCGCTTTCTAACTCTGAGTACTTGCACAGGCACAACCTAGTAGCCAGAATTCTACACCAGGAGCTCGCTCTGAAATACGGTCTCGTGGACCGGAAATTGCCGTATTACAAGTACTTGCCGGAAGCCGTGCTCGAAAATGACCGCGCCAGACTCTACTGGGACCGGGCCATCATCACAGACAGGACTATTCTTGCGAATAAGCCTGATATTGTGCTGATGGACCGGGCACAGTCAAGGATATTTTTGGTCGATATTACCATCCCGTATGACGAGAACCTCGTGAGAGCCGAAACAGATAAGCAATCAAAATATCTGGACCTGGCTCACGAGGTGACGGACATGTGGGGTGGTCTGCCGGCCGAAATTATTCCTGTAGTCGTCTCTGCGAATGGGCTAATCCCAGTTAGCCTCTCTGGTTATCTGAGGCGACTGGGACTCCGTGACGGACCGCTCCGGGCTCAAATGCAGAAGGCGGTGCTCCTTGATACTGCCCGCATCGTCCGCCGGTTTCTTTCCCTTTCTTTCTAACCCTTGGCCGTTTGGTCTCCCCTGCCGAGGGCTTCCACCTGGTTGGGCTTTTATTTATTTATGTATTTTTGTATTTATTTTATTTTATTGATATTTATGTGTATTTATCCATTCATTTTCGTTTATAATTATATATTTATACATCCCAACCAGATGAGAAAACTATATAGATACCCCACACATAATAATAATAATAATCATTTATTCAAATAAAAGTACAATAATAGAGTGAAGACTCTGATTCCCAAACTAGACAAGTCTGTATCTTAGGAATCAGTGGCCTCTCCCAGTGTTGTGACAACAGTATTTTAGTCTTAACAATTAATTAAGTAACTAAGCTTTACATTTTTAAGTAATTGTTTAGCTAATTGAATGTATTTATTTACAACGAAACATATACTTTAACTTAATGCGACTCTTTAGTCGTTATTATATTTCATATAATCGTAGGTATATTAAAATTAGTTCGCAATTTGCAATATATATACATATACATACACACACGTATATACATATACATACATACATATATATATATATATATATATATATATACATATATAGAATATATTATTATATAATTTCATACAGAATATATATTTTATTCATTATAACCTATAATTAATAAATAGATGCTTTAAACAAAGATTGCTATTTTTAATTTCATAATTTTAAAATTTTATAATTTTATTATACTTTTATTATACGACATACATTACTACATGTTAACAAATTATATTTTCTGTTTTACTATAATCAAGTGACAATAACCAATCTCGAACTTTAACTTTACATTCATGTCTGGAAAGAGGATAAAAATTTAGATTTCTATTTAATTTATTATAAAGCACTGAGGATCGATATGAACTTTGTCGCCTAGAAAAAGCAGTTTGACATCTGCCAATAATCATTACATCCGGTATTCTGCGTTTATTACGACAGATCTCAGGGTTATAAGGAGTTAGAGCATGTTTCATTAAGATCAGTTGTTGGATATACAATTGCCTAATAGTCAACATTTTGCATTCTTGGTAAAGCAGATTTGTAGGATACCTGAACGGTTTAAAAGTCATAGTTTTTAGGAGACATCTTTGAGCTCTTTCTAATTTTATCATAAATGTTTTGCATGCTCCACCCCAGGCAACTATACAATAACCTATAATTGATTGTGCTAAGGCGTAGTATACAGTTCTCAATAAATCAAAGTCAGCGATGTGCCTTAGCCCTTTAAATGTTCAAATAGGAATCCTAGTGCGCAATGAAATAAGGTCTATGTGTGGGAGCCAGCTTAGTTTCTCGTCTATAATTACTCCGAGATATTTAATTGATTTGGATTTCGTCATTTTAGGGCAAAGGCAAGTATCTGTTGACTGTAAACCACAAGAGTGTACTGTTAGTTGTATATCGTTAACAGTTTTGGTGTTGGTTATATGGAACTGCATATAGGTGGACTTTGATATATTAAGAGTCAGTAGATTCTACTCAAGCCATTTTGCCACAGATTGAAGACCCCTCATCGCAAACTCCTGGACCTCAGGCCAAGTCTCTCCGTAGAAAATTAAGGCTGTATCATCAGCATAAGTAAATAGCTTGCCTTGAGTTAGTGTCATTGAGCACAGGTCGTTGATGTAAATTAAGAAGAGACTTGGTCCCAGGATACTGCCCTGAGGGACTCCAAATGTGACACAGGCGTCTGAGCTAATAATTTTTTTTATTTTTACTCTCTGCACACGGTCATATAAAAAATCCTTAAAAATGGAAAGGGCAGAATCTCTTATTCCAATTTTTTCTAGTTTGTTTACAAGAATAGGTATCGAAACGGTGTCGAAAGCTTTGGCTAAATCTAAGAAAATCCCTACACACTTCTGTTTATGGTCCAGTTTATTTGTTACAAATTCGGTCAAGTTACGAACAGCATCTTCTGTACTAACACCCGCTCTGAATC